GACTCCCAAATATACATGCTCGAAAAGATGCTGCCATGCACTTGGCATGTAAATCTAGGTTCAGTGAATAATTAAAGAAGAATGTGTTCCTCCACAGCACCAGAGTCAGGATTCTTCTACTACATGTCTTTGGACTCTGAGACATGGTAACACAAAAATCACCTTCCCTTATCAGACAAGGTGTGCTTGCTGGTGCTGCTGTAATTGATGGCATTTCAAAACACATAACCAGAGGAGCTCTACATGCCTTTGCTGTAAATAAACCATTGCCACCAATATGACTGCTTTGAAACCAAAATAAAGATCCAATAAAATCCAAATAATGACATTTAATTAAAAAAAATTACAACCTAGGCTTTGTAAATTACATTTAAAAGATACTACGTGTGGGATATATACAGCTTGTCTTTGCTCTGAAAAAACACTGTCCAGTTAATTGGTTTTTCACTTGCTTTGATCTGTGAAGGTGGTGAGTACCTGTGTAACTGCAGGCCAAGTTTGGCTAAATCAAAGACCTATATCTTCATTACAGTCTAACAAACATAGATGACCAAGTACACTCAAGGCAGCTACTCACAGCAGTTCTCAGCAAAAGGCCACACAGCCAAGTGAGAGAAGAGTGTAGGTTTGAAATACAGTTGAAAGTACACAGAACACACAAATTACTATTCACTAATGATAAAGACAAAACATTTCCTGCACTGGCACTAGGAAGGTGATGGAAATCATCCTGTTTACAGTGGCTTGATAAGCATTTAGCACCAGTGGACCTATGTCCTTCCACAGTAATAGGGGAAAAAATTATTGGGTTACTTGTCATCCACTTCTGACAGCAGCTTCTGTATCCTCTGCACTGGCTGCAGCAGCAGCTCAGAGCCATGGCAGGACGTCCTCAGCACAAAGACAAGTGTTTGGTTGTGAACACTCTTACACACTGTGAATGGACTCCACATACACAGCAGAATAAAAAACTGACAATTATATATAAGGTCTTTAAATCTGCCAAACAAATACGAAATAGAGTATAACTCCATAAAGCAGTATAGTATTTTTTATATAGCATGTCATGCTTTGGTGGCCAACAAGTCAAAGTGAAGTGACTATCCAATGCATCATGTTCAGTTTGTAAAAACAGCTTTTCTGTTTAGGTACTTGAGAATATAATAAAAATGTGATGAGCTTTTTGCCTGGCTTCCTCAATCAAAATATCATCACAAGTAATAAACTGTTGCTGAAGCCTCTTATGGTATTTGATCCTACTGATCAAGTTAGACAGCTCAGAGAATTCCTGCAGGCAAGTATTTCTCAATTTCACTGATCTCATTAAATCCAACTCTCCCTCCATCTTTTCCAAGTAATAACAATGACAGCCACAATTGCCCTGTAAGAACACACTATGAAGTGTAAGGTAATCTTACCTAGTTGTTGCATCCCACTGCAATGACCAGTGCATTTAATAATTAATAAAAGCCTATTTTGTATGGTGATATGACACTAAAGAATCATAGAATGGTTTGGAATGGACTTAAAAGACCATCTAGTCCCAACCACCTGACATGAGCAAGGACACCTTGCACTAGACCAGGCTGCTCAGAGCCCCATCCAATGTGGCCTTGAACACTTTCAGGGATGGGTCTCAATCTGTGTCAAAAGCATGTCCACTTAAATGGTTTAATTTCTTCTAAGTAATCTTACAGATTTCTCTGTAAGAAACTGGTTCATTATTTGATTCAAACTCCACACCAGCTTCACTCACACCACTGCTGAGATGCTCACAAACCCTTCAGAGCTGTGTGCCTTGTCCCCTGCACAGAGAAACGTCCCTCAGAGGTGGGCTGCACTGAAAATCACTAATGAAAGGAAGTGATTTGCTCCGTCCCATGACACAAAATTAGCACCAGGAGGCAGAGGAAATGCTCGATGCAAGTAGTGCTAACACTAAATGCCAACAGGCACTGTACAATTCTATTGTATCTTGGCAGACAAACAGTACAAGTGCCCTTGACTTGCTATTGAAATTAGAGAAGGAAACCCAATTTTTTTCTGATTAGATGTTTACACAAATCAACAGTGCACTGAATGTGTTTTGGAGATTGTCTCCAGTCCAAACCAAAGAAAAAAACAGTAATAAAAATGGTAAGACCAACTGGGCACTCCCAGGCACCCACATCTCGGTGGAAACCTGATCAGGCTTCCCATTGCACTCCTGGGGGATTTTCACACACCCAGCATATCCTAATCCATACCTTTTCTTCTTTTGGAAAGCATTTGGGGCCAGTTTTCTCCCAGAAGAGATGTGGCTGAAGCTGATGAAACACCACTGCCTCCAAATTCTCAGAAATTTCAGAGGCAGAACATTTTGCCTTGCTGGCAAACAATTTAAGGATAAAGAAGCTTTAAAAAAGCTCAGCTCTCATTTCCCATGATCAGCTCTTATGAAGAACTGGCTCCTGGGTGACTCCATCCCCAGAGCTGCTCAGTTGGGAAGCTAAACCTTAGGCTGATGGGCATTATGACCATTATCCTGAGCTGCAGCTCCTGGGAGCTCTGCAGAGCACAGCTGCTCCCTTAGCTCCAGATTAAATCTATGCAAACCTGGAGATGATTTAACACACTTTGAAGCTAAATTCTGAGTAAGCTTTGCTAGATAAAAGTGCAAGAAACAGAAAAAAAATCCAGGCCACTGATTCCTGGAATCTGCCATGGTTCATATCCTGAGTCATAAAAAAGGAAGATTTGATTTCCTAAAAAGAATTGTCACATACCAGTGCTTTTTTAAAATTATCTGAATAGATAAAGCATAAAAATACACAAAAAGGAACACATTGTGTGAGAAACAGGAAAAGGAGTATTTAATACTTTTTAAAATACACTTTTCAAGGAGCTAAAATGTTATCTGTTTAGCCTCTGCAAATCCAGTTCTTCAGACAGTTCTCAGCAGAGAAGTATTTAGATGTTCTCCCAGAGGAGAGCAGGGATGGCTACAGTCCCAGTCTGAAAAAAAGGTCTTCTGAGTACTTTGGTCACTTCTGCTAGGTCAAACGGTAGAAAAACAGAGGGGTTTGGGATGTAGAGGGCTGCAAACATTGGAGTACAGGTGTAGGGACACAGCCCAGGTGATGGTCTAGAGAGAAAGTAGAGCTTTACCCAAAAGCATGTCAGTGGCTGATGTTGCAGCAGGGGAAGGAACAGCTTCCTTTAATTCTTTTATTTCTTATCCCACCTAGAAATCTACAATATTTTTCATTTGTGCAACCCCTCAAAGTAATTTGCAAAGTGTTCCTAATATAATATGCCCCTTGATATACATATGCAAAATATATATGTCACTTGCAGGGAAGAAAACAGATTTAAAAGTAAATTCAGGACTTGAACTTCAAAAGAAATTAACATATCACTAACACTAATGAACATATTGATAACAGTACTCTTCAGCTAAACAGTAGCAGGTGATCACAGGTGTGCCACAGAGGTAAAGTGAAATGCATTAGGCAGAAAATCACTGAAAGATGTTCAGGTATTTTATCTCCTCTGCACATAACAGGAGCTCAGAGCTTGCTACTGCACCTCAGCTAATGGACAGTCAGTGATGTGCCCCAGTGCTGAGACACCACCCACACTGCTAAAGAAGATAAAACATTCTGATGTGCAAAACTGATTTCAGAGAAGGTGAAATAGTGGAACTCTCCCTCTTTTCCAAAGCTGGTTATCAGCCAGCTCAACTACACAAGTCCCAGTGTCACCTTTGTGTATCCCAGGCAGGAGCTTCTTCCAGTGAGTTACTTGTGACAACTCCAGCAAAAAACCCTTGTCAGGATCATGCCTCATGAGAGATTAAGGCCTTCAACATAAGAAGACCCTGAAAGTACTTTTTATTTCCTTTATTTTACCACATCACTTACCTTCAAGGAACATGAAGCCATGCTCATTTCTCCCCAAGGACACCCAGAACATTTTAAACACCAGAGCTACGTTTACTAAAGCTCTACATGGAGGTTAAACTCAAGGCTACTTTGTACATCAGCCAACAGCAAAATGGCTCCAACATTATGCACTTGCCCACTGACATTAGAAGGCCAACTCAATACACAGAGGTTTTATTACCTGCACCAGCACCAAAAATGTTTAGTGACAAAACCAACAGTTAGGTTTCTGAATCTTTATCACCCCTATGAATCATCTTGCATTTTTTGCTATTTTTGATAATTCATTAACACTCAAAAATAGACTGAAGAGGAACAAAGACAGTTGCAAAGAAAGTACCACCTTATACGTATTTTAAGAGTTTAATTTAAGGTTTAGCAAATCTTATTCCCTAATTTGGATTTATTTGGAATCTGTATGCCAGTGAAAGAAAGCACAGGAAGAAGACCGGGTGCAGATGAAGTGCACTGCAAATCACACAGAGGTGTGACAGATGAAATAAAAGACTGAGCTGTGAATGAGTTGTTCTGTTTCAGGTGCTCTGGGGAAGTGTCCATTTGTGATCTTTAATCAAGACAGACAAGGAAAGAAGCATCAGCCATACTTCATTCCCTTTGTTTCCACAGTGCCAGAAAGGATATACAGCAGTTACACATCATGCATCAAACCTTAGACAGAAATGGGACAGATGAACAAACCACTTCAAAGTTGTGTACTTGGCTGAAATCCTGGATGGAGGGTCTTGTAATTGGCTGAGTGAAGGAGGAAGATAATCTACCTACTGCATCTTATTTTCAGATAGTGGTTAATACCATCCAGCTCAGAAGCAAGCATGGGTGGACAGAACTCTAACTTCAAAGGTTAGTTCAGTTAAAAATAGTGATTAACTATGGCCAGAGTGCAAATCACTCCAATAAGATAATGATGTTCTATGTACTCCCTTGGGGGAGAAAACAACCTATTACAGCCCTTAATTTTGACTCAGCCTTTTCCAAAGTGCACCTGACACATCACCACAGGGTGCAATTCAATACAGGAGAAAGAAGCAGCACAGCAAATTTGCAAAAACATCTCCATTATGCCATCAATTTAGCAATATTAAACCCAGACCATTTCCCTACCTGCTTGTATTCAGATTCTCTTCCAACCAGTACCTGCAGAACATAACCAACAGGATCTCCCTTCATGGGTGGGACCATTTCCCAGGTAATTTCACAGGCATTTCCTCCCATCTGTGTCACTCGAGGGGCTACAATAAAATGAAATGTGTTAGCATTTAACATTAAGACTGCACTGAAATCTTACTCATTTTATGTGCACTGTAATATATATCAGAGCATTTTAAAAAGAGAACTTCGGGACATCACAGTGTTAGCTGCACATAAACTGTACTGTACTTATATGGCTAAACAAAAAATAAAATAAAACTGCCATCACCACTAGGATGAAAGAAGTGTAACTTTAAGTCACTCAAAAGTCTCATTTATTTTAGGACAGTCTTGCCTGATTAAGCAGTTCAGAACTCTTGTGGTTTTAAACAATAACAAACACTATCTATAGAAAATTGGGTGAAATTTAAACCTGACTAACAAGCTCCTAAGAAGTTTACTGTAGGACTCAGATCCTTTCTGCTGAAGAGTCATTAGAAAGGGGGATTAGATGTGATAGAAAACGTTGAACTTTTAAAACTCAATTGCAATGCTGTGCCCTGATCTTTTCAAAGCAGAAGCCAACACACAAATTACACAGGCACTCATAAAAGCAGCAATTTTGTGAAGCTTGAGCAAACTCGTGCCAGTGGAGACACCTGTGCATTCCTCCCATGCAAAAAGAGAGGAATAATATCAAACATTTCATTCAGGAAAAATAGGAGAAGAAATGTGAGAAGAGAAGCTAAATAATCTTCTGTCTTAGTGCTAAAGTCTAGCCATGGGAAGCAAAAGTCAAGCATCATTTTAAAGACCTGGACTTGTATCTAACTCTGAGCCTGACATTCAGGTGATGAGATCTGCTATTTCTAGCCAGGGTTAGACTAGTGTTTTCACTAGAACTCCAGAGGAATTCAATTTGTCAGCTGTTACAAGGCTGCTGTCCTTGAGAAAGAATCTCCCACCAGCTGAAAGCCAAAAGATGCTGTGCCATGCCTGATGGCAAGCTCACAGGTGAGCTGAGCAGAGCACTGACAACGGCAGCATGTTTTTACTAACTCAACATCTGCCACTGGAAGACATCAAAACAACTGTGACAGCATCCAGGGTGCACCAACCTCTTGATCAGGCAGAGCATGCAAGCACAATATCAAAAAAAGAATGAAACTGGAAGAAACAAGAGCTCTGAACACTTTGGCAGGTGGTTAACATGTGCACGTGCAAGGACATGAGCTTGTTAAAGGCAATCTAGATTCACAGCCCTATGAAAACAGACAACAGGAGGGTCTATCAAAGAAACAAATGCTGCTGCATACATTGCACGAATTTTCGACTAATTTGTTACTACCCTAGAGGAACACATGAATCATATGAGGACCCAAATGTAATCAATATCCATTTACTTTTCTCTGCACATCTGCCAGTGCTGGGAGACTGATAATAGACGCCTTCATCTCAGTTGACAACGTTCTCAATTATTTTTCCTCCTTCTTCCATCCCTCACCTCGATACACGTAGATTTTTGTCTGACACTTACAAAACACTCCCATTAACAACAATGCTATTCTAGGGTTGGTGTCACTAAGTGAGTAATTAGGAGGAGAAACATTTACTTCTGGATAGATGAAAAACTGCACTAAGTTTATCACGTAAATTCCTTTGTGCTGCTCTGAACATGTAAGGTAATCAACACCATCATTTTGCCTGAACAGATCTCTCCTCCCTATAGCATCACCTCCCTCAGCAGCGCTCACCAGCACAGGTTTTGTTGTGCCCTTTTCTCCGTTACAGCCAAATTTTGTCATGTACCCGAGGTCCCAGCCCACACATGACCCTGTATTTGCACCATAACTTAACTGCTTGATACTCAGCCCAAGGTATGAGTCATATTTAACAGGAACTCAATAGGCAGGCAGGGAGTTCAAAACAAAAACCTAGGTGAGGTGAATTGAATAAAATGGATTATTATCCAACAAAATGAAAGTGTGACTACTGTGCATGCTGGCATCCCTGGGCTAGTTTTATCCACTTAGTGCAGCACAGAGGAACAATAGCTATACATGCTTAGCATCCAGGAGTGACACGTGCCTGTGCCCAGGCACTCCAACAGCTTGTGGATAGATGCTGGAGCTCTGGAGCACACCTGCCCACACCAGCCAGGGTCATTCCACACACCAGCCAGGGTCATTCCACACGAGCTGCCTTCCCTTGGCTGGGCAGCACATCTCACACCTGTGTAATGGAGTTGATCAGGGGAATTCACCCCGGCTAAATATCTTTGCCCTCAATTATACAGGTATTTTTTGCTTGAGAGTGTTGTTTTTCCTGGGGGTGACTCAGAGCAGCTAACCTCAGGAGCAGGGAAATCACACCCCTGCAGTGTTCTCCCCTCTCTAATTCTTTGGTTGCAAAAGGTGTCAAAGTCACCAAAGACAGATTTTAAATATAGAGCAGCAAACAGAACCTCTCTGATAAACTGACAGTTGCTGTTTCTCACAGTAAATGACATGGCTTGACAGGGGAGACATAAGTACACAGGAAAAAAAAGGTTCACCTGATTTCAGCTCAGCTGATCTGACAGCCCATACAGAGAACCCACGGCCTTTGTAACAGTGCAAAGAAAGCCTAATTAGGCCTAGAACAAAAGGCCTAATTAAATGAAGTTTTATAATGAAACATCTTTTACTATTATTTTTACTGTTTTTACTTTTGCTCCTTCCTTCCTCCTCTTCCTAAGGAGCAAAATTACTTAGGACAAAATTTACACAGAGTAAAAGACACTTAATTATAAAACTTCATTTAATTAGGCCTTTAATTCTAGTGGAACACATGCTGAGGTCTAAACCTAATGCCTTATATGTGAACTATCATAATTAATTTTATACATTAAAGGAAAAATAAACTCTGAAGTTCTACACTGAACACCACCTACACAGCTAAAAGTAACAAACTTTACCAAAGCTGAAGTTGGTATGTACACACATGTATCACAGCTGTTAGATCCCTTGCAGAAGTGCTGTGGTAACCCAGAGCAATGCCCTGGTAAACATTATTGTTAGCAGCAGCATTTTAGCAGTTTATGTATAACAACAGTGGTTAACATAATATTTATATTGTTTATGTGATTTTCTGGGTGATAATTTAGCTTCCCACTATAACAACTTCACAATTCACAGAATTATACCATCAGCACAAACTGATTCTTCACACACACTTACGGTAACCCTTACAAACTCACTGCATACTCACCAATTACAGAAATAATTACATGTTACATACACATATGTAAAAAACCAAACCCCTAGTACATACCTTTGATTGCAGGTGGGACTGACTTGGTTGTGCAGAAGGTACAGATTTCTGAGAAAGGTCCCTCCCCAGCATCATTAACTGCCTGTATTCTGAATGAGTAACAAGTGGACTCTGTCAGCCTTTGTATCTTGTACGTATGACTTGGTCCCCTATAAATTGGGATAAACCTGAAACAATAAAAATGAGAGCATGTAGCTTCACTGACTGGCACTGACATTCTTGGATATTACATTTATCAGCTCAAAGTATCCATCATATAAAAACTGGCACCGCGTGCTCTGCAAGTATAGAAATGTCATGTTATTAACATAGCAACAATAGTGACGAGGTTGGGGAAAGCAGAATTTCATTGTCCCTTCTTCAACTGATATGTACCTTGCAAAACAATGACATGAATTATCAGGAAGAACACCTGCCAGTGGATTTCTCACTACCTAGGAATCAAAACTGATTCAACCTGTGTTCTGCTACAATAAACCATGTGCACTGCAGATTTTAGAGTATGATTAAAACAAGATCAATTCTTTGAACTGTTTATGGATTTGGATTTCATTTGCACATTAAGACATCTTATACTCATCTGTGCCATCGTAGGCCAGAGTAATTCTGTTTACATCAGAACATGTGGATTGTGCAATGTATGTGTAATATGTTACATGTTTCTCAGTTCTGAAGAGTTCACAGACTGAAGAGTCACACAGCAGAGACAGAAACAGATTCAGAGAGAGGACATGGTGGTCTGAGTGAAGAAGCACAGGGGAAGCATGAGGGGATGTAGAGGATGGAAAAGGATCAGTCTAGGAGTGTTGGGCCTGCTCATACTGCTTGAGAGCATACAGGAGATGAAAACATCACACTAAGGAAGTGCCTTCCAAAACATTTCCATTGACAAGACCAAACAGCAGCGCACACAAACTTGTCCAACAATATAATACAGAGCAAAATCAACGTCACTGAATATTGAAAAAAAAAAAAAAGTACAGTTGCTAAAGAGAATCTGACTTTTATTGCTCTGCTCAGATAAATGTTTTTCACTAACAGTCATATGTTAGCCAGCAATTTCCAGCTAAGAACCTGACTCAGAGGTGCTGAGCAGAATGGGGGTGGAAGTAAAGAGGAAGCACCCAGACTATGCATCCATCCACTCAGCCTCCAGTGGGAACAGCATCTTGCTCACAACAGTCCTGAACTTGTTGCATAGGGTCACGTATGTTTTTTTTATTATTTAGTACTTATTCAAGTATCTTAACCATTTCAGCAGATTTTAAATCACCAGGAAGCCACCAGAGAGATTTGTTTTTGACCTCCCTATCTAGGTACTAGCTGTATCCTTTGAGTTTGCATGAGATACACAGTATAACCAATTTGAGTATTTCAAAGGAACTGGGTCTGTCATTATCTCTCAGGGACCGAAATCAATGCGTATTACATTATGACTGCAATCCATGTAAGTACAAACAGAGATCGAGAATCATCTGTAATAAAAGGAAATGTTCAAGTAATTCAAATTGCTGGAAATGTACTCTGAGGACTAATGTGGGCTTACTGCCCACACTGAGTTTTAGCAAGCTCCACACCTTGATTGGAAATCAAAGACCTATGGCCACAAGTTTTTAAGAGAAGAGTTTAGAGCAAGTTTCCAAAGAAGAATATTTTTTTTAACCTTAAGCTTAGCCAGTTTCAGAATTGCCTGCTATCCTACATTTCTGAGGCTCACGTAAGCAGCTGTGGCACATTTCCAGTCCGTCACAAACCTGATCTCATGGAATAAAATTTCTTGAGATTCACTGTGTGATGAGCAAAGCACATGTACTTAGGACAGCATAAAGGCTGAAGAGACAAGACTGCTCTGTCCCTCTCCACTTCTCATAGCTCAATCAGGCAGCTGACCCAGAAACCACTGCAGTATGCACAGAAGATCAGACTTGTCTCTGGCCCCAGTCCCAGGACAACAGATAGCAGAAAAGATGCAATTCATATTTTAGACTAATGACCTCTTTGTAATCATCTGTGGAGTCATATAAGCAAGGGAGGATAAATATACCTTCCCAGCTAACAGACAAACACACTTTTACCCCAGGCTGGGCTTACAGTATACTTCCAGATATATTATATGGTCAATACCAATGCCTTAGTCTTCAAATTACATTTTCACCTTTTGGATATGACTAAGGGTTCATAACACTGAGGAAGCAATCTGGAAAAACACTTGAGCTCCTCCTGTCATTTGGGAACTGGACTAATACTCCCAGTTCAATTAATACTAATACTCCCATCCAGTTCCCATTTCCACCCATTTTTACTTCTCTATCTCAAAAAACATCTGTAAGGAGAGTAAAAATCGTTATGGAAAAACTTACATCCACAAGGCTGCAATGGAAGGACACAACCTTCTGAGATTCAACCACCTTTGAAGAAAGAGGGCTTCCAGTTTTGGAAGAAGAAAGGCTGATTACTAGGTCAACCAAATTCAATTGCTGTTGAGCTTTACCATGACATTAACACTTTGTAATTGTGTTCGAAGATGCGTATCATGATGTAAGAAACATAATGAAGTGAAACACTAACTTCAAAATACTAGTGATTTTTGGATGATTAAGGTAGTATTTTCCTCATGTCTAAAGTAAGCACTTCATACTCCTCCAGGATTACTTCTGTTATTTTTAGAAACAGGGTAGTTATTTGATGTAGGTGGCAAAAGACTTGGAACAATATATCCTACAATCCTTTTTCAGCCTCCTGGGTTTTCTGCTGAAGGATTGCAATGAACTTGAATCTCTCAGTGTGACTGCACATTGCCACTGTTACCTCTATAGACATTAAAAATTATCTAAAGAAAGACAGCTTTTTCATATTTTTGCAATTTCATTTTTTTTGGATCTAAATATTTAGATCTTAAGATTTAGAACAGCTGAGGGAATTGGGTTTCTTTAGCCTTGAGAAGAGTCTCAGGGGGGACCTAATAGCTCTCTACAGCTCCCTGACAGGGGCTGTAGAGTGGTGGGGGATGGTCTCTCCTGCCATGGCTGCAGGGAGAAGACAAGAAGGAATGGTCATAAACTGAGACAGAAGATTCAGATTAGATGGTAGGGAAAAAAAAAAAAGGCCAACATTGCAGTGCCTTTAGGGTGTCCAGGCACTGGAATGCTGCCCAGGGAGGGAATCACCAGCAGTGCCTTTAGGGTGTCCAGGCACTGGAATGCTGCCCAGGGAGGTGGTGGAATCACCATTCCTGGAAATGCTTAAGAGGTGTCTGGATCTGGCACTGGAGGATATAGTTCAGGGTTTAGGGGTTACAGCAGAGTGACAGGTTAATGGTTGGACTCATGATCTTAGAGGTCTCCCCCAACCTTGATGATTCTATGATTGATTTAGACTGAAATCTAAACCTAATTTAAAAAGCACATTTAAACATGAGATCTACATACTTTTGCCTTCTTGGCAAGCCTGACATTGTTCACTGTGCTTCACCCAGGCCTTGGTCCACACATTCTCTTAAGAACAAGCCAGCTTTGAGCTTGTTTGGAAGGACTTAATCTCTTATGCTTTTAGAAGTTGATTTAATCTGCATACAGAAAAGCTTTCATGTTCTCTATATCCCTTTGACCTTCTTCTAGGCAAGAAATTTTCAATTCTCAGAGGTTTGCCCAGTTGAATTTAAAAGACAGTAGGCTACATACCTTAACTGGCACCCTGCCTTGGAAAACAGACTGGCTCTGTGGGTTAGTGGCATGCTCAATACAGTTGTATTATTTTTTAAAAAAGTTTTCACCATCCACAACTAAAGGTGAATTATCCTAATTTACCATGCTGCAGTGTTGCCTCTCCTCTCCACTAAATTAACAGCAGATACCAGAAAGAAAGCAGCTTTCTCCAGGGATGGAGACACTCCCCAGAGGTTACTTCCCCCACATCTCAACTGAGAGATCCCAACTCTCCCTTTCCAGACATTCTCACCTCGGTCACAAATTATTCATGTACCTGCATACAGGAGAGGAGAGAGAACATGATGTCCTAGAATGATTGTTAGGGAGATACCACTGCTGTTAGTTTTTCATCAATACCTTTTTATTCTCAGTGAAGATCTTCTTGGAAATGTTTTACATGTTGCCGCTATTTTGCTTTCTCCACTTCAGTCACTTCCAGTTGAGCAGAAGAATACGAATGTACTCACTCTACCTCTGCTCATTAGTACCCAGCACATTTTAATCAGCAGGTTCCCTTTCAAAGCCTTGGGTTTTGTTTATGTTTTAGTAACTCGTTAGTTCTTACAAGAATTTAATTTGAAAGAAACTCTACTGTACAGCACTAACTAAGCTGGCAATCCTGAGTCGAGGTACAAAGGCTGGAATAGCCATCTGAATGGTTCTGTTACTGCCTCCCAAAAATGTGGTCATCTGCCACAATTATGGCTGGAGAAAAATCATTAATACAGCACTGATCCAACCTGGTGACCCGAGGCTTCACATGAGCACACATGGGCATCTGCCTCAATACAGCACTGATCCAACCTGGTGACCTGAGGCTTCATATCAGCACACATGGGCATCTGCCTAATTAGAAACTAAAGTACATGAATTTCACAAAACAACAGCTCTTTCAATATTACTGACACAACAACGTGTTCTCTGTACATTTACAACCCCCACTTACTTTCTTACACTGTTCCTCTAATTTGATTTAAGGACACTGTCAAACACCCACTGATTTATATGACTTTTTCTCCCCACCAGCAGCTCCCTATACTACAGGTGACACCAAGGAAAGCAAAGCTTCAAACCAAACCCATCTAACTCAGACACACAAGACTAAAGTCAATGCACATTTTTTCATTTCTGCTGTATTTTAATATGTTCAACTCAAAAAGAAAAGCTTCACATCTGCAGCATCCTTCATCCCCACATCCATCACTGCTCCTATAACCAGTACCAGGCTGACCCAACCTTTTCAGCTTTAGGGCACCTTTCCAAGCCATCTCACCATCTTTGGCATCTCCTTTTGCAGGTAGGTGTTGAGGGAAGTCAAACACATGAGAAGGGGTTCCCAAAAGAGTTTTGTGCTCCCACAACTTCCCCCTAACCTGGCTTCCAGTCCTAACATGAGGTATGGACAAAACCGGTCCTTTGGTCTGAAAGCACTGGTCTCTTTGATCTGAAGATCTGTTTTC